GTGTAGCCGTGCTACACGGGGTTCGAAGCAGCGGGGATTTAAAAATGGCGGCTCCCTGCTTATGCTAATGAAGCCCGGGAAATTCAAATCCCGGGCTTCATTTTCTCAAAGGGTATGTCTACACTACCCTCCTAGTTCGAACTAGGAGGGTAGTGTAGACATACCCTTGTAGAACTAGAAGGAACCTTGAGAGATCTTTAAGTCTAGTCCCCTACTCTTGTGACAGGACCAAGTACCATTGCTGACAGATTTGCCCCAGATCCCTAAATGGCCCCCTCAAGGATTGAACTCACAACCGTGGGTTTAGCAGGCCAATGTGCAAACCACTGAGCTATCCCTCCCCTCATTTTTGCTATGCCTTTCACCATTAGATAAAATGGTCCTTTATAACCTGGTATTTTCTCCTGGCAAAGAAACTTTCATTCTCAATCTTTTTGATAATTTAAACAGACAGACTTAGAGTTTAGTCATTGTAACATATTTCTGCCCTTGAATCACTTTTGTGGCTCTTTTGTACATTCATTCTAATTTTAGCATCCTCTTTAAAGTGTGGACTCTAGAATGTATGCAGTACTCCAAGGATGTGTCTACACAGTACTCTAAACTCAAAATAACATATGCAATTTGCACTAAGCAAATCGCGTATCTTATTTCGAATCTATTTCAAAATAGCTTATTGTGAAACTCTGTGCCTCTACACAGTGCCAAATTTTGAAATAACGTGCTATTTCAAGACAGCCTTTAACCCTCATGGAACAAGAGCTACCAGGATGTTGAAATAGCACGTCTATTATTTCAAAAAATATTTTGAAATAATGGGCAACTTGTGTAGATGTGGGATAACTATTTCGGGATACCTTCCGTATCCCGAAATAGCCATGCAGCGTACACATATCCTAAAACTAATGCTGTATACAGATGTAACATTACGTCCCTATTCATAACTATGTGGAAGTAACCCTAATATGTGTCAACAATGAGAAATGCATTCAGACCATAATTCAGTAAGATGTTGGTGGTACTGATCCTAACTCACAGAGTTGATATCTCAAAATCCACCACTGTAACTGGCACCATTGGCTGGATGCCTCAGGAGAAGCAAATGATAATGAATACTGATCTACTCTCTCACCTAACATGTTCCCTAGAGATTGGGCAATATCTTGCAACCTAAATTCTTATTTCTATACAAGATCTTCTGGCCTTAATGTAACTGAATTTTCAACCTAAAAATATTTTCCTTTATGTTCATATGCCTTTAAATGGAAAGCTACTGCCTTTTCCTCACATTTAGAGTGTGGTACAATTCTGAACACTACCACGAAAGATAACAGAACCACACTTAACAAGTTTTGCTTACTCTGCCAGCTCGTAACGAAACCTCCAATTGCTGCTGTTATCAGTCACGACAAATTCTTGAAGCTGGAAAAGGTATTCGCGCCTTTTGTCTGCATGAAGCAACTACAGGAAATGTTGTTCGACAAACAACTGATTAGTAAACACAGATTAATCCAGCAGTTCAAAATATCAGTTTGAAGACCTATAAAAACTCTTCACTACTTTCAGGGTTATTTTTCTATTCTTACATATCAGTTTATTTGCAGATTTCTGCTAGAAATAACTCTTTCAATCAGATTGCAATTCATAGGCAATATGCTTTTCCTCCAGAAAACTAAACCCCAGATTCTGATAATTATGCACACCCTAGTAGTATCACTGAATATGCAAAGGGCTATTTGGACACCTGCCCGTGCAGTTACTCACAGAATGCATGAACAAATTAGGTCTGCCTAACTGTAGCCGGACAGCCTCCCCCCCCCCAGTTTTCCTCTCTTCCTTTCCAATTAAGACATACTTAATCCAGGTGCTTGTATATTGAAAGCATCGGTCCATCTGTGAGGAGAAGGAGATGTACAGCTAGGTGTTGGCAAAGCTAGAGTCTCTTCCAAAAGATCTCAAGTATACACTCAGAGATTCTGCTCTTGATCACACATCATCAACCAAACTGTCAGTTAGGTTCCAGATGCACAATCTTTATTAGTGGTGATATCGGAGCCAGAAAGAACAGCTTGACTATCACATCCCAGAGGGAGTCTTTAAGGCTGGCACGTAAAGGCTTTGTCTCTATTTATGAGATGACCAAATTTGATGCAAAAGTCACTGAGAGATAGTCACAGATAGGAAACATCCAGACTCCAATTTTACTGTTTAACTGCACATTAAAAAAAACCTTAAATATCTCTTTGCTAAAAATAAATTATGCTTATGTTATAGATGGGGCAGGGTGCACTGCCCATTTAGACTAGCCAACACTTCACCTTAAAAGACATTGTTTTCAGTTGCTTACAATTTATCAAACTGTAACTAATACAGTGTGGTCTTCTGTCTTAAGTGTACACAGACTGAGAGTAAGCTGTTACTTGGTACCATTATTTCTATTTTTCTATCTTTATCTTCTTTGTAACCATTTTTAAGACCTATATTTTGCTAGCAGTTAAGAAATAGAGCAATAGCCATTGCAACCGTATGATTTATAAGCTTCCTCAATAAACCTGTAACTGTTTAATCTTTAACCTGACTCCTTCAGTTGCTGTAACAGAACCAGGCACAATTTAAAAGAACTTCAGCCGGCCTTAAGGGACAGATATAGGGAGAGCTTGGGCATTTGGATTTGGGTCACTCCCAGGTGGCAGATCCGTTGGGGCACTTCTAAGCCTCCCCCAGGCTGCCCGCTGCGAAGGAATCACAGATTCTAGCAGCTAAAATCTGAAGTGTAATAAGCTCTCCCTGCAAACTTATTGGGGCGCTCGTCAACCTCCTCCAGGTTGCCCGCTGCAAGGGACCCCAGTCTCAGCAGTTGAAGTCTCGGGTGTATAGCGCACACACACACACACACACACACACACACACACACACACACACACACACACACACCCCACTCACTGCCCTGACCGTCGGCTGACACCTAACATTCACACAAATCATTAAATGGTTCATTTTAAGCACACTTTTTTCTCTCAGAAAAGGTCAGTAGAGCATACATTCAGGCCTGCCCTTGCTTGAGTGTACAACATTTTACTATTCCAAGGACATTGGTGGAAGGCATTTTAAACAAGACTGCGCAAAAATCTTTTTAAAAAATACCAACACGGGGGCCAATCTTGCAAAGGCCCCTGAGGATGTACTTGATGAGCTGATCCGATTTTTATTTCTCAATTAATCGTAGGCCTACTTGATAGCCATTTAGATTGTTCTGAACAGTTTACAAAAGCAAGCAAATAAAGTTAGTTTGCATTTCAGAAGGGAAAGTGAAGGATCTTTAATTTAAAAATATAACTTCTCTGCAAAAAATCCAAAACTCATACAACAACTAAATTATACATTTAAATCCAGAAAAAAGTTTTGCAGGTAATTGATGCATGAAAAATGTAGGTATTCATATGTCTAAGAAAACTAAAACAGCGATTTTAACAACTACATAATCTCTTACCTTAAGAAAGTCGTAGAGATGTTTAAGGACTCCAATGCGCACTTCATCCAGATCTTTTAAGAATCCATTGAATATTGGCACCAGATCAGCTGCTGTTAGTTGATCCCCCAGAATAACAGCCAGCTCATGTATGGAGAAAGCTAGTGTTCGACGGACCTTCCACTGTCAAGAGTTAAGAAAAAACAAACAAGCAATCTAGATTAAACACTTGAGAGACTCTTGAGTAACTCTTAAATAGAAGTTCACTTATGAAAGGTAGAGGCAGAAAAAGCAGAATTAATTTCCCAAAAGCCCGGTGCTGCTTAGTAAAGTTTTCTTTCTTAAATTAAAAAAGTGCATCTGGCACAACATTCCAGAATCATTGAAATTTTACTCTAAGTCAATTTTGGATATCATTTCTTGTAAGCTACAGCACAATTTGCCTATATTTCTAATTTGTGTAATTTACTTAAAATTCTAAACACTTAGTTGAAAATGCAGTTTTACCTGGACATCTGCTGCCAAGGTCTCATACGTATCTTTCAAACAGTGCCAGTTCTGCCTGCCCAGAGTTAAGGCCACCCCAGGGAGACTATATGCGCAGTGTTTTGCTATTTCAGTGTCAACAGTCTGAGCTCGAGCTGGGTCAGTCATTGACAAGTACTGGTCTAATAAAGGCTGAGGTATGATATCCTGCAAACAATAATAGTAAATCATTAACAGTTCTAAATGCAAAATAAGAGAGAGAGAGGGGAAGAGATCTTCAGTATGGAAAGACATCTGCTCTAGCATTCTCTCTTGCTTCCAACCGGATGGCAGGGGCACCAGTTAGGACACAAATTACTGAACACTCCACACCCTAAGTCAAGCTAGCACAACAAACTTTAGCAACAGTCACTACCTTGGGTGGACTGTTATCCAGCTTGGACAGAGCAATAAATAACCATGTTACATTCTGTATCAAAATCTGGAAGGCAGCACAATCAGGAAGACTGATTTTTATTACTGAATAACAACATTTTGGGTGCTGCATCAAGTTATTTGATGCAACTAGATCTAAGAGCGAGATTTTCCATCGCATTTCATACAAATTTCTCTGGCAATTTAAAAATGAAAACTTTGTTGCTTGTAAGCCAACCTGTACACCCAGTCAATGCACATATTAAGCTACTGCCTGTGATTAAGCTGCAGCTGGGACACCAAAGAGAGATCCCTCTATTTGCAGCATCATATTTGTACTTTGTGAGCCGAAAAGGAAAAGCCTAGATTTCCATTCACATTTTTTATGGATATCAACAGGATTCTGCTCATTAATGCCTAGAACAATTTCTGAAAATTCTGAATTGACTGGATGAAGTGTTTATAAGATATCACATTACAAAGAAATGTCATCATAGAGTCGAGGGTAAGGTCTCATAAAATGTTTTAAATCACCTGTAATTTTGATTTATCATCTTCAGAGGGTGAATTATTACGTTGTTCTTTCTTTAAAAATTCAAAGGTCCCATTGTATTGTTCCTTTAATTCCTGTAGAAGGATGTAGTACTTATGATGAAAATAGTTTTATGTTCTTTCATTACACAACTACTGTTTAGTGTAGCTCAAAGCATTGAACTGAAGAGCAACATAATTCAGATACAGAGCAAGTCTTTGAGAGCACAGTCATGCTCACTGTACTCATATAAGAAGCCAAGTCAAGATGATTACACATGTGATTAATGCAAGCAGATTTTGGCCATATGAAAATCACCCACTTTAAAACAGATTCTATGAAATGTTTTAAATCAACAAAGGGTCAGTTTTCAGCTTCACGAACAGTAGCTCAGATAAAAAAAACAATTAACAGATACTACACACCTAGTTATTCACCCACTAAAGCAACCTCCTCCCCCAAAACAAAAACAAAACAAAACACCAAAGGGCTTTCTTTCTATATTTTATTACTGTTAAAATGTCTATGGGTCACTAGCCAGCCTATGTTGATTTTGTCAATGTTGAAATAATTCCTTTATCTTCACAATCACATTGTGTGAATTTAGAACCATGTTCAAATTAGCTAACTGATGAATATTTTTAATGCTTTTAAAAAGGTATAATCAATTAACAACTTTAATTGCAATGAACCCAATGTTCTTCAGATACCGAAAAATAGTTTATCATTTATTCTCCAAAAGTACTACTTGCTTAGCAAATTTAGCAGATATAGACAAAGCAACTCAATATTTGCTTCAGAAAAAATAATACACCAATAAAAGTTTTATTCATTTTGGAGTAGGGATGGTTAAATAGTGATTAACTGAAATGTTGTGCAACCACATAAAATATTATCAGTTACACAACTATTTGATAGTCCCTGGGGGTGGGGCCAGCAGCCAGAGTACTCCCAGCCCCACTCCCAGGGATTCCCCTACCACTGTATGTTGCTGCCTCTACAGAGACAGCAGCGCAAGGTGGCACCAGCTCCAATCCTGGGCCTGCCAGAGACAGAGGCTACTCTGTAACAGCCTCCCCTGCCTCCTCCTGGCGTGGGGCGGGGGGGAAGGGGAAGAGAGATGCATGCAGTCAATAAGATTATCCGATAAGCCTAAACTCGACTATACACTGACATTCCTATTTTGGAGTACACGCATGGAAACTTCAACACTCCTGTATTTCCCTCAAGATATTGCTTTTAGTTTCTTCACTGATCTGTGGGAAAATATTCTAGCGATCTCCAATTCAAGATCAATATATCAATTTGTGAAGCATGCCCTCTGGTGATTTCTTAATGAAAAGCTGATGGTAAAATACTTCCTTCTGCATTGAAAAGGAATTCAAGGCTAACATTAAATTGTAGTTACAAAACAAATAGTAGAACTGAATGTTATTTTAGAGGACAAATGGGTATTGGCATATCACTATGATGAGCTCCATTACAAAGACAAAATTATGAGCGCGGTGAAAAAGTTTGCCTATTTAGCCTCATTGTCAGGCCTTAAAAGCTTATTTGTCTGTCCACAGAAGATGAGTGTATACTTACTGTGCTTTTCAGCATACTAGTAGTGGATGAGTTGCTCACATCATCCTGGAAGGATGAAGATGACAATGTGCTCTTTTCCACAGTGGGATGGCTGGTTTCAAAAGCAGACAACTCATTCTGAAGTTTGCCACTACTTTCTTCGGTGTGCTTGGCCTCATAATCACTTATGGACTCAAACTGAGCAGCTCGGAGCGCAGCAGACAATACTTGAACCTGGGCTATATAAAGTGAAGAGATTTGGGGTACACTTAGAGCTTGTTTACACTTGGCAAAGTGCACCAAATGGATGTGATTTGTAAAGAGCACTAAGAGGTACAGTCTGACTGCCCTGTGTAGCTCCTGAAGGTGGACTCTGAAAGGTAACTAGTTCACATGAATGTAGTTCTGGGATGACATCCACATGAACCAGGTACTTTTAGAACATACCATCAGGTTCTACACAGGGCAGGTAGAGCACAACACATTAGAGTGCTCCACAGAACACATCCCTCTAGTACACTTCAACACTACAGTGTATACAGGTTTTTAGTTTCCTTTCTGTGTTTCATTTTAAAGAGTATTAAAACTATAATTACTTATAGTAAGAGATTTTAAAACAAAATGAAATGTGTAAGAAACACGAGAGGAAATATTTACCTTTGCAAAAAAAAAGTCTAGAATTCAGCAAAACCTTTCAGATAAACTTAGAAATAGTATTCATTTAGAAATAGTATTACCATTTCCAGAACATACAAGTATCTGTTTTCATTGTCTAGACAGACCTCTGATCACCTCCAATGGCAAGGAACGCAGGATCATGTCCTATTTCATCATCCTTAAAACAATTTAACATTTTCATCCAGAAACTGAGGGCCAGCATCAAGGTAGGAGGCTGCCTGTGAAACTGTAGGTCCCCCTTGTAGCCAGACGTGAACCCCCATTTTAACATCCATCTTTGTCTGCTTGAAACCATGCAGGGCACATAAGAGCAGGAGGTTTAGATATGCTGGCTCAGTGACCGTGACCAACAGTAAGCAGAGATAAGAGGGTGGTCAAACTAAGGGCACTACATCGTGCCCTTGACTTAACCCATATTGATACGAACACACAACCGTCCGCGGGGGGAGGAATCTCCCGCCCAACAAGAACATCCGGCAGTCCTAATTTAGCTATCTTCCTCTCTTACAAGTGTAAATTAACTTGAAACTTGCTTGTAAGAACTGGCGCCACAAAACGGACCAGTAAAATTTGGCCTCTTAAGATAAAGAGAATACGGGCCCCCAGGGGTATAAAGATGGGTACAGCAGCACACTTGCTTTGTGTGTCAATCTACCACCTATCTGCTGGTCGGGTTTGGTGTTTGACCTCCTGAGGTTCCAGAGGGGACGCCCACCTCGTATTCGTCTTTCCGAGCAATTGAGGGACCGACCCTGGCCTGACACGCTGGAGTCGAGAGGCACAGAAGGGGGTAAAAATTGTACCTGGATGTGGTCCTTTGTTTAAGTATATATATATATATATATATATATATATATATATATATATATATATATATATATATATATATATATATATATATATATATATATATATATATATATATATATATATATATATATATATATATATATATATATATATATATATATATATAATAGCCATTGTAACCATATGATTTATAAGTTCCTTTAATAAACCTGTAACTGTTTAAGCTTTGACCTGACTCCTTCAGTTGCTGTAATAGAACCAAGCACAATTTAAAAGAACTTCAGCCGGTCATAAAGGGACAGACGTAGGGAGAGCTTGGGCGTTTGGTTCTGTGTCACTCCCAGGTGACAAGATCCGTTGGGGCACCTTTCCCAGGCTGCCCGCTGCAAAGGAACTTTGTGTTCTAGCAGCTAAAATCTAAGGTGTAATAAGCTCTTCCTACACACTGGGGCATCTGTTAGCCTGTTTGGCTACCCTCTGCGACGGGACCTCGGTCCTAGCAGTAAAGTCACAGACGTTAAACTCTCGGGACTCCTTTAAGCCTTCTGGGCTGCCCGCTGCGACGAGACTTCGTGTCTTAGCAGTCAAAGACTTAGGAGACATACCCACACACACTGCCCTGACCATTGGCTGACACCCCTGCAGTTAGGGGGTATGCTGAGAAACAGTTTAAAGGCCATAGTAACTTGTAATGGAAAAGGAATTTTATCTAATATACAAAAGTGTAAATGCCAGAAGTTGCATTTTGTGTTTACTTACTGTGTACCTTGTGTACTGTTTAGTCTACATTTCCTCTTTGAATTTTTTACCCCAAGCAGATCTCTGTTGCGTAACCTGTATGTAGTGTATATGCATCAAAGTGAGCAGCTAACAGGAGGGGAGAAGGGGGGACTGGTTTCACATCTTCAGATATGATGAACCAGAGGGAAAAACTCTGAGATTCTGGTAATTAAGAAGTTGGAGAGGACGGAATAGGGGAGACTTGGGACTAGAAGGTCTATTGGTGTCATCCTAAAAAAAGAGAAACTAAGCTGCTGGAAGCCAAGGTGAGAGCTTTTGCTTACGGGCAACCTATAATGGTCAGGAATAGGACTCATAGCAGCACAACATTTAGGCATCCAAAAGTTACAGGGCAGGCCCCTACTGATTTGTGTCATCCACAGAACATCACACACACAGATTAAACCCATTTCCGATCAAGTATAAGCAAGAGGAAGTATATAGTTAGCGTGTCTCAAATGGTCTTTCGGGAATGGATTAAAAGAACAAAAATTAGTGTTTTTGCCAGGATTCCTCCAATGTAGTTTTGAACCCAGCTCCATTTCTATGGAATGCAACATTCTGTGAAAATATGAACAAAAGAAGCTCCTAGAACTCAGATTTTCTAATAGCTTCCAAAATATTTACATTGGTCCAACCCGTAGTGACTAGATTTTAACAGTGAAATACCAGAGCATATACCAGGTCCAAAAGCAACAGTTATTTAAGGGCGGATGCGAAGAGTTGAGGGTAACAGAAAAGAGAAAAGATGATCAGATCAGGCTGAGGTACATAAGAGGTATTGGAAAGTTGGTCACAAAGGAAGAGAAATGAGCACACAAACCATTCTCTTTATTTTCTATTGTATATGTATCAGCCTTGTAACTTGCCACCCTGCTGCCAATTCCCATGCTCCAGTTTCACTTTCCTTCTTGTTCTATTCCTTGTCACTAATCTTTCTCCTCTCCTATCAGTTCTTGTATTTCTTATTTTGACTCCTATGCCCACCACTCACTTTTCAATCTTTTCAATCTTTCTGGTTTTCAACCTTTCTGGACTCCGTGCATAGGCACTAACTTCCCCTGTAACAGGGGTGCTGAATCCTCACTCTGTCCTTGGCCTCCACCTACCCTAACCCCCGTTCACCCCTTGTCACAAGTCTATGTCACCAACCTGCCTCTTCCAAGCACGGCTTATCCCCACTCTTCCCCCACTCCTCCAGAGCTTCCTGAAAACTGAATCAGCTGTTTGTAGTGCTCTGGAAGTGTTGGGAGGGCAAGGAAGGAGTTGTCCATTGGTTACCCTCCAGGCTCAGGAGGCGGGAAGGAGGTAGCTTAGCTGCCGAGGGTGCTCAGCACCCACTCATTTTTCCTCTTCAGTGCTCCAGCCTCAGCTCCATTTAAAAAATGTTTATGGCCTGTTGCTACTAAGTAATCAGACTGGGGGTGGAAACCCTGGGGTGGTTTTGGTCAGATCCTGCCCCCCCGTGATGGTTGGGCCCTACCTAGCTCTCACCCCACTCTGGTTTGCCATGCCCTGCAGACTGGATCCAGTTGGTGAGGTTCGAGTTGTGCCCTGACTCATAGGATTGCAGTGCTACTCACTCACATTTGGCCTTGGACTTCTATCATCACAATGTCTGTGCCAAATCTGAGTGGTGCAGAGATGGCAGAAGTTGCCTGAAGCAGGAAGATGAGCCCAGACAACACTTGGGGACAGAAGACACAGGAACCGCCACCACGGAACTCTTTGAAACATTCTAGTCCAGCAGAGGGCAACAAAAATGATTAGGGGTCTGGAGCACATGGCTTACGTGGAGAGGCTGAGGGATCTGGGCTTGTTTAGTTTACAGAATAGAAGGGGGGGAGGGATTTGATAGCAGCCTTTTACTACCTGAAGGGAAGTTCCAAAGAGGATGGAGAGAGGCTGTTCTCAGTAGTGACAGATGGCAGAACAAGGAGCAATAGTCTCAAGCTGCAGCGGGGAAGGTCTAAGTTGGATATTAGGAAAAACTATTTCACTAGGAGGGTGGTAAAGTACTGGAATGGGTTACCTAAGGAGGTGGTAGACTCTCCATCCTTAGAGATTTTGAAGGCAAGGTTTGACAAAGCCCTGGCTGGGATGATTTATTTAAGGTTGCTCCTGCTTTGGGCAGAGGGTTGGACTCGATCTCCAGAGGTCTCTTCCAACCCTGTGATGCTATGATTCTAGCAACCCAATTTTAAGTCCCAACCCATGGGTTGAGAAACTCTGCTCTAGGCAAGATAGGGTTGCTGCAATAAGGGGCTTTGAAGGGTGTGGGGAGTCCTCCCTACATGAGGCATCAGAAACTATACCTCCACATATCACTACTATTTTAGGCTTTTACCTTGAACGTCTGGATCATTCATGTGATCCTGCAAGCTTTCCAGCACTTTTTTAATTTCACTACTGGCAACGCAGTTACTACACAGAGCCTTCGACACAGAGCAGCCTTCTTCATGCTTCTCAGTCTTGGACTGAAGCAGTTCCAAATCCTGGCTTATATCAGGGAGTGGAGGACGCCAGTACAGGAAATTGTTAAAGACATCCTCAGCAGACTGGAACCTCGAGTTCACTTTCTGGCAATCACTCACATGGCAGTCTTTAATGCCTTCTATCACACAAGCAGTGGTATTGTCACTCTGGGACAATCTAGTCAGATCCCCTTCAGGACTAGCACAACTGTTTAAATTTTCTTTCAGTAGGTCTGTTCTTGGGATTTCAACACAAATCAAGGGGTTGGCTTCTGCTGACGTCCCTTTAGTTGATGATTCCAATTTAATTTCTATTGGTTGTTCTGAACTGAGAACAGAGACGTGTCATTAGGAGAAGAAAAGGTAAAGACCCTAGAACAGCACTTTTCAGTTACAAGACTCTAAATAAGGCAGCAACAGTAATTATAATAGATGTAGCTATTCTACTTGAGGACAAATCCTGCTTTAGAACTACTTATTTCATCTCTAGTTTCAATACATTTCCCCCTTTCTGTCTCCCCTTCCCCTCCAAGAAATTACTGATGAAACATTAAAGTAGCAGCTAGATTTAATCATGTGGCAATACATCAGACCTATGCGTAATCCACATTTTATACCATTATTGAAATTACACCTACATTATCAAAGGTCTTTTTTTAAGTCACACATATTAAACATAAGATCATATAAACTAAAATGAAAGACTTAACTGAAAGACTGTGAGGAAAAAAAACATTTTGTCAATTTACTTCCCCTTTTTGCACCTCAACCCTAGCTTTACCTGGAGGCTACAATGTTCAGACTGGCAACTGTGATGTTTGCATTGTTGCCTGCTTGGCAGGAATTGAAAATCACATCTTGTGCTGATGGTCGGATACTGAGGGTTCCATCCTCCCGTATATAAAGGCCAGCACTAGAAGGGTTTGCAAAGGTAGAAATAAAAGGGCCTAGAGACTGAAAAGCAGCTTGACGAACCTGTAAGTAGTACAAAAATAAAGATGTAACCTATTTTGTAGCCATGCTGCCTTTTGGTAAATTGTTACTAATTAAATATGGCTCAAATTTGGCTCTTACTATATTAAGAATTAATGTACAAGATTTTATTTGCTATTATCTTAGTTTTTCAGAGTATGCTAGTAAGCCAGTCCTGGCTTCATTTAATACATTCTATTACTAGAACTTCTGAGGAAAAAGCCAGGCAGCAGAGTAAGGGGATATAAAAAGTAAATATAACTCGTCTAATGTATTTAATCTTTCACTGCATGATTCAAGTCACAACATAATTATTTCCTAGATAAGGCTGAAAGCTCCATGCATCTAGTATTATGACAATGAAAATGCTTCTTAACTTTTACACTGTATTTAATGTAAATCACCAATATGACATTAAAAATAAAATAAATAAATAAATAAATAAAAGCCTCCAAGTCTGACAGGACAAAATTTAGCAGGCCCAGAATGACACCCACTTTCTAAGCATGATGTTTTACATTTCTGAAGTGAACATGAAAACCAAAAAAGAGCAGAACAACACATCACCATGATCCTAACCTACCCAGCTAAATTTTACAGGGTATGCATGTGTGGGTGAAGGAAGCATACACATATTGCATCCATGCTGCTTTAAGTATCCTCCACTTGAGCGACCACGACTGAAAGTTAACATTTATGCTCCTATACAGGAGACCTACCTTTACTATCAAGCACTGGTTAGGCCACCTAAAAGTCTTTGTAATTGAAAAGGCAGCTTGCATGCATTAATTTCTTTTAGGTCAAAGGTTGCCTACTTACCCATCTGCAGGGGTCACTGATAAGGTTGATAAAGAGAGGAGACAACTTGCTTCTGCGAACTTCTGGGGAAGTGGTGTAAGACACAGCCATAAAGCATTCAGCACAAGCTTTTCGCATTCCCCAAACACTGTCAGAGCAGAGTTCAAAAAACTTTGGAATCTGCCAAAAATAAATGGAGCTATAGATAATCAAGATAATTCAAACTGCAATATAAAATACCACTTTCTGTTGGTTTATTTACAGTACTTGGAAAAAATAGTTGGTAACCGTTTACAGTTGATGAATAATGGGTGAGAAAGGATGTGAAAATAGTGGCTGAATAGAAAAATTATTCTAGTTATATTAATTATTGAAGAATTCAAATTTCCCTCCCCCATTCATCTCAGTTCTGTTTTACTATAATTTAAATTAAGAGGAAGAAAATAGGGAAAAATTAGTTACAGGCTTTCTTTCTGCAAGTATATCTCGGGGGTAAGGAGAGATTATAAAGCATGGGAAATGAATTCTTTCTAGTCTGGGGAAGTGATCAGAAGAATCAGATCACTTTAAAATACTCTTCTGCTTTCAACTGTGCTTAAAAAAAAAAAAAAAGTATGTTGGTGATGAAGAGTAAACCTTACTATTCAGTACCAGACCAGTTCGTCAATTGGGAACACTGCCTCAGGAAAAGTCAAGTCTAGTATTGGGTTTAGCTTCAGAACACTCCTCCCACCACCTAGCAAAGGGAAAATAGCTAGCTACTTGCATAAGAAAATAATGTTCTTTAATTAGATTTTTGCAAACACCTCTCTGTTTCTGTTAAAATGCAATTTTATACATATCTTTACAGCAACCACACTCAAATCAAAACTGATTTTTCCTGGCCTTTTTCCAAAAGCAACAGATAGAATATTACTGGAACAAACTGTCAGGACTCTCACATGCAAAAAGTAGAGCTAGCTCCTGCAATGGCACCTAAAAACTACTCATTGTTAACTAAAGAGAAGTGACTACTTTAAGTTTAACTTACGTTTTGTGTGCATATTTATACCCCAGGATAAGAAAGAAAAGAAACATTTACTAGGGGGCTGCACCCTGCTCACTACTCTCACCAGCCCCCCTCTTTCTGGCCTCGAATGAAGTCATTCTGTCACCTAGCAGGAACTTTTTCATATATATATATATATATAAAGAGAAGAGAGAAAATTCATAATATACAGGTTGAAACTTTTTTAACCGGGATTCCCTGGACTGGCAACATCCATGCTCTGGCATGGATGTTGCAGGACCAGAGAGTTCTGGTGGAGGGACCCCCTGTGGGGCTGGCAAGACAGTGGGGCTGCCCTGCGCGTGGCAGAGGGGCTACCCAGTGCAGCTGGGAGACCCGGGGTGGGGCTGCCCAGTGGGGCTGGGAGCCCTGGCGTGCAATAAGTGGGACTGTTCACAGAGCCCCGGGGCGTCGCACACAGCAGCTCAGGAAGCCCCGGGTGCACGGGGCTGCCCAGGCAGCCTCAGCAAATGTGTCTACCTGAAGCCCCACCACACCATGCGCACAGCTGCCTGGAGACATAGCCCAGCGTTGGCAGAGATGGCTGCCCAGAGGGTTGGCAGAGTAATAGGGTCAGCAGGAGGTGGGGAGCCAGCTGGGAGGCCAATGGTTGGGCAGGGGGCAGTGGCAGGGGTCCAAAATTGACCTCCCCTGGTCCAGCAAAATCCCTCATCCAGGACCAACCAGATCCTGAGGGTGTCCGTCCAGAGAGGTCCAATATGTACTATAATGTAAAACCACAAAAACTGCCAGGTCACTCATTTACAGGTATAAAACGTGAAACGTTTAACTTGATTTTTTTTTACCATTCTGAGATTTCAAGTTGACTGTGTCCAGATAATTTAATAAATTCACTGAAAAGAACCTACTCTCACAGCATACGCATAGTCTTAAAAACAATCAAAAAGTCTCTTTTAAAAAAAACAAACTTTTGCCACAGTGGAGACTAAATCAGTGGATCAGGTTTAAATTCAAGGAAGAGTTATCCAAATATTTGCACTTTTGTCTCAAAGAAAATGAAATGGCATTATCTGTAATTTCCTTGTTAAAATATTTCAGTTGTAAAATAAATAAAAGCTCAAGCAAAATACACAAAAAGATTTGTATCTCTAAGTTTTACATACCAAAAATTTCTCTGTGGCTTCTTGTCCAACTGCATTACAAATATCACCAAAGCTAGCTGCACAAACCTAAAAAAAGCCATAACAATGTTATGAATGAACTCCTGATCCCACTGAAATGAGTATGAGCTTTGCTACTGATTGGTGTCAAGAATTTTACCCCTTATTGTTCATTCATGAGCATTAAGCACTGGATTTAGCAGTTTGCTTGTCCTTTACTATACAAATCCTACTGAAAAATTTAAATCCCGTAAATACTAAGGCCTCAGTCCTGAACCAGAGATTCATTAGGGCAGACCCCTGTGGTACACAAAAAACACCATAGAAATAAATGCCACTGTACGCTGGGCCTCTACATCAGTCAGGAGTCTCACAAACTTCAATGGACTCTGAATGGACAGCAGAGATTCACCATCTGAATCTTTTAAAGATGTGAGCAGAGGCTGCCAAAAATGGAGCAGAAGAAAAATGTGTGCAAGTCAGTACTTAAGTGTATTATCAAAACTATCTTCACAATAACCCAGACTGGCTTAATTTCAAGCATGTGCTTACATGTTTTGCTGAATCATGGACTATTCTGGGTGTAAGCCAGGGTCACAGATACCTCACTTTTGTGAGCATCATATTTTAAAAACTCCACACACACACAATTAAAAACAAACAAGGAAATTCCTTTATGTTGAAAAAGGAAAATTAGAGGCGCTGCTAAAGTCTGAAATCATATCATCATCAATACTATGCTTAAAGATAATTTGATGTAAATGTTAAAATACTGTAGAATGTACTTGAAGCGTTTCAGCTTTGAAATAAGTCATGACAACCTTACGGACTTGGAACAGCTTCCCATCACCACATAGCTCACAAAAACGGGGAAGTAGCATATGTTCAACAGTAGTTTTGCTCAGCATAGAAGCCATTTTACAAATTATCTATAACACAGAAGGGGTGGGGGAGACATTCACATAACAGTCACTGAGCACGTTTAGTTCAAGTTTTTTTCTATGAAAAGAATAGTTTTGAAAGCATGAATTAAAATATATACCTTAAAATATAAATATTATATTATTTAAATGTATATCCTATTTTTAACTTTCCTCTCTGTTATTTGAATATTTTCATTAACTTGTTTAGGAAGCCCACTTGCAAGGAGTTATTAAACTGCAAAATTAATTTGACATTCTTATGTGCTTGCGACCAAGTATAACATTTCTGCATTAGAGAACTGAGATTTTATTTTGTTAATTGAACAGGATGACTTACAGAAAATCAACAATTTATACTTAGTTTGAGAACTCTTGAATTAAACCATGTCATAATGTTAATTACACTTAAATATTTGTGATAGCAATGTTGAGGGCCTGTACAAGGACTCATTTTCCATTGTGAAGGTACTGTTCAAAACCACAATACTGAAAACACTGTAGCACAAGCTCCACTTTAAGAATACAAGTAGTCTCTGTAGCTTCAATAGGCCTGCTCAAGTGTTTAAAGGTAAGCATGTACACAGCTCTTTGCAGGATCTGCACCTAAACTGAAAACAACATACCACTAAAGGTGCTAACAGATCTGTGAGTAGTGATAGAAATGTAGCCGTGTTAGTCTGGTGTAGCTGAAACAAAATACAGGACTATGTAGCACTTTAAAGACTAACAAGATGGTTTATTACCAAAGGATATATATATATGGTTGTGACTATTTTCTTCCACTATTTGATCTGAGGAAGTGGGTCTGGCCCACGAAAGCTCATCATCTAATAAACCATCTTGTTAGTCTTTAAAGTGCTACATAGTCCTACATTTTACCTTTAACAAGTACGTTAATATGATTGAGGCTGGGGAGCTACTGATTTTTCACTGTGCTGGCAATTTTGAAGTTAAACATAATTCATTGCTGATCAAACAAAGCATAGTCAAATTTTAGCATGAATGACAGTTCAGAGGATTCCCTTTCAAGTGCAGATTTAAAAGGCTGTGAGTGGTATCCTTCCTGTCTTAGCATCTATCTATTTACTTTGATCTACTTAGGTTTAGGTACTCATTCTCCAAATTCTTGATGATGCTCTGTCTCACACACACCCTTCCTTTTTTCTTTTTCTCCCCCCTCTCCTATTTATTTCGAGTTTTCATATCCCCTACTCATAACTGCAGTCATCTGAAGAAGTGGGCTGTGCCCCCGGAAGCTCATGATACCATCTACATGTTTGGTTAGTCTTTAAAGTGCTACCAGACTATTTGTTGTTTTTTTAAGTTTATCCTGTACAGACTAACTCGGCTACCCCCTGAAGCTTTTAAAGAATTGTCAGTGCTTCAAAAATACAAATGGTATTCAGATGTCATGCTGAAGGTCTTCCAGATCAATAACCAACTCCCAAACAAGGAAGACGAATTTAGCTGGTAAAACTATTTTACAGGTCAAATGTCAGAGGTCATTGATGAAGACAAATCTGGATTTTTTGTAAATTAATATAATCTGTTTTTTCCATCAAGACGCTTGACACCAAAGACTTTAATCATCCAAGCTCTTTATTAAAGTTAACCATAACCAGAGTAGAAATATGAACACTTTAGAAAGAAATCACTGGGGAAAATGATGACATTTGCAGTAACTTAAGGGTTACTGCCAAGTATTTTTATTTTATTGCTTTCAGTTTCTAGCATACTTTTAACACCTTGAAAATATAAACTCTGATTCCGATATTTTTCCAAATATGGAGAATATTGATTTTTCCTTTGGAACTTAATTGTAATTAACATAGCTTTTGTTGCTTATTTCCTTGTGTGTGCATCAACACTATCTGATGTCAGCATTACCCTGGGATTGTGAATTAACTGATGATGCAGTCAGAGGACACAAGTTGATACCAGGATTCTTAATACAGCATTATATACCAAGAAATTTAAATACAGAAAAAAATATCCCTTTCTTATAGAATCACTACTAGTTTCCTTAGACAGTTAAACCAACTACATTATAACTTTTATATAAATAATTTTGAAGTTGTGCCATTTGACAGTGTTTTTTATGGTATTTTCATAAAACAGTGAGGGGAGGAAAGGTACAATTTATATTTTAGAGTGTGCCTGTCTGATTATCCATCTGCATGTCCGTTTGTTCAAGAATGCCTCCTAAATGGTAAGAGCTAGTGCCACCAAATTCAGTATATGGCTTCTTAGGGGCGTGGCTAATGGGGCACCACCAAAAATTATACAAATCTGCCATCCCTGCCGGCCCCGGGAGGAGGAGTGCGTTGGCTGCTGGTTTTTTTCTCAATCAAAAAAATTTCTGGGGCCCTGCACCTTCCTGGTGCCTCCCCCTTCCCTTACTGCCCCTGCCCCCTTTTTCCCTGATGCCCTCCCCCTCACCACTCTCTGCTCCGTTCCCCTCCTGCTCCTCTGTGCCCTCACACATGACTTGCTCTATCCCCACCTTTCTCATGCCCACCCCTTCTTTCAAGCTTGCTCCCAGCACCTTCCCCTCCCCCCTCTAGCCTCCAATTCCCTTCTCCTCTCCTCTCCCAGCATCACCCTGTCCCCCCCCCTCCCACTGACACCTCCCCTCCTTCCCTTTTCCTCATTGTCTCCACTTGGCCCCCCTGGCATTTGTCTCTCCTCCATCCTGTCCCTTGGTGCCTCCCCCTTTCTTCTCCGGACCTGCCTCCCTCCCCTCAGCACAAGCCCCTTCTTCTCCCACCCCTTCCTCTTATTTTTCCCCCTTCCCCTCCCCTCCCCTCTCCTTCCCTTCCCTTCCCTTCCTTACCTTTGGCTTCTGCCTTCCAATTCGCGGGGCTGGAGTCAGAGCTGGCCCAAGCTACAGGTGGGCCAGGCCCTAGCCGGGGCGCCCCACAGTGCTGCTGGGCCAGGCGGGGGCATCCCCAGGGTGCAGCACAGTGCTGCTGGGCTGGGGGGGGGGCGCCTCAGGGAGGCCACGTGGTGCTGCTGGGCCGGGCCGGGCATGGGTGGGGGCGGGGGCGGCGCCGGCAGCAGCAGCAGCAGCGTGTGCCGGCGAAGGGGAACTGCACTAAAAGCTGCTTACGGCAGGGATGGTACAGGCCTGGGGAGAATGCTCTGGGGCTGGGGTGGGAGGACGCATGGGGGGGCTGGCAGGTGGGGGCCGGGGACCACTCCAGGCAGAGCCGGGGAAGAGACCCAGCTCCACATATTGCTGGAGCAGTGCCCCCGGCTCTGGATATTAACTCACCGCCCATGGCGCCTGGCACACTTCTGGGTTCAGGGCGCGGGGCCCCTTTAGGCGCGGGGCCCCATTCGGGGGAATCGGGTGAATCAGCCTAAGGAAGGCCCTGACCGGAAGCCCTGGGAAAAAAACTTCTTTCCATAACATGCAAAGGGAGGAGCTGCTATTCCAAGGGATGCTATGTGATATGAGAGTGGCCACTGGGGGCAGGGAGCCTGCAGGAGAGCTATCCTAGACAGTGGCCACTGAAGGCAGCGGTACCACCAAAGGAGTGGCCAGCAGGGCTGGGGTTCTGCCAGCTTGCCTGCCAGTATACAGAGTAAGTAGTCCCCCACACCAAACCCTTTCCTCCCTTTGTGTCCTTAGGCTGCAGTGTTGAAGAGGGAGGGGACTCCTGATGGGCTGGGGGGAGCCTAGAGGGAGAGAGAGAACAGGCCCCTAGCAGGCTGGGGAGGAGGGGAAGAGAACAAGACCCAGCTAGGGAGGGACCCTCTGCCCTGAGCCTCTCCTCATCTCCAGCCCTCACTCTCGCACACATACCCTCAGCCTGCAACCGTCTGCAACCGTCTGCTAGTTGCTGCATATATAGTCGAAACACAAAGTCAGCTTTAATCTAACCAGCTTAGACACCAACTGCAGTGAAGCTGCAAGAGCACAGGCTGTACAAGCCCAGACTAGACCCTGAGTACGTAGTCAGACAGTTAGCCCATGCTGACTGTGCATCCACAGCTTTATTACTATTGGTACCTGAGCTAGCTAAATTAAAGCTAGCTCTGTTACACCTACATGTGCTGCAATAACACCTCTAACTGCAGTGTAAACACATCATTAGGCTAGAAAAAAGAGTGTAATTTCCCTGCTCACTTACATATACTTGCACTAGCTCTCATCAAGCTCTGAATATAAATAGCAGTGACACCAAAGTAGCACAAGTAATGCCTGTTGTGGCACAGCTTAGCTGTGCTGCCTATTGTACCACTGGTTTCAGGCAGATTTATATTCTGCATAGCTAAATCATACCTCTACTACTGTTACCCATGCTACCACGGCTACACCGCTATGAGCTAACATGAATATTAGTATGCAAACCAGAGGGTCACTCCCCTAGTTCATAGTGTAGATGTAGCCTGACAGGGTCTCAAGTGGAAAAGCTTGTCAAAACCTTAATGATGCCTATTCTTGAAAATGACTTAGGAAAATAAGATTTGGAAGGTCTGACTAACTGCATGACTGAAAACTATACAAGATGATGGCATTTACAAGCAGTGTTCCCACTAATCTTTTCCATCCATGTGTAGAATAATGTTATGCGCACTAAAGTATGTGTGAATGTATACCACCAGCAAAAAAAAAAAAAAATCTAGCTATGGGCATGCTGCTAATCAGCAGGTTGGCATATGACTCTTTTCTGAGTAGCCACACAAGCACACAGTTACAGGGATCACCTTGTACAAGCACATACACACACAAAGATTTTTCCAACAAGAGTTATTATAAATAACAGTCTCAAAAGCAGGGGAGTCCAAAGGATTCCTCAAACAGTTCGTTGATGCAGGATTCAGAATTTTCTTCTGTCTGACCACAAATACAGGGCTCAGAAAATTTACTAGTTGAAAATTATTTGAATTGGTTTACAAAATGCTTCTATCTTTGGCAGACTAAAAAACCTTACTGTGACATTGTTGTCATTTCCATCTTGCTTTCTTCACCACTTCAGCTTTAGATGGTAATCTCTTATGAGCTAGATGAGGTTCCTTGTAAGAGATCCAAATTAGCTTTTAAGAACCCAAACCCGCTTCGATTCAAGCTAATGCCACAACTCACATTAACGACAATGATGCAAGTTTAAAGGACCCAATTCTACAAGTTACTAATAACCCCATAAGTTCAAACCAGAATGGCTAACCACATTTGAAGCTGACATTCCCATTTTATAGAGGATTTTAACATTAGTTTCTAGCTTCTCAAAATAATGGCCAATAAAACAGAGATGCAAGATGGAAATAAGAATTTTAAGGATATTTTCCGTTATATAAGGCTTTAATTCTATCCCAGAAGGCTGACAAAAGAGGACTTTGATCTATTCATATTCCTTGATCTAAAAATGTTTTATCGGCATTGGCCAAAGCTGGAAGATAGCAAATTCCATAATTCACAATAGCATAATTCTCATTCACAAGTTTTCATATACTGAGACACTGGAAAGGGAACGGGAGATCAGCCAGTCCTTTACAGAACAATTTCTTGTAACTGGACAACTGAGAAATAGGTAACTGACACTACAGAACTAAAACAAACCTTCCTGTTAACTAGTTTACTTAATTAGCAAGTTAAAAGTTTGAATATAAAGTCCATCTCTCACAGCCTTCCACTGATCAATTTATACACCTTCTTTTTTAAAATGTCCAAAGGGGGAGGGGGAATACAATTTTAAAATAAAAATCTTCTGCTGCTACTTACATTCACTGCTTCCACTTTGTACTCATCATCACTGTCTGGAGCAGAGAGGTCCAACAGAATTGGGCACACCTTATTTTCTATATCATTTTGAGCAATGAGATCTTGTTCTATCAGTATCAGCAGTGCTTCCTGACTTGCTTTTCTAACCTAGTAATACACAAAACAAAAGAATAAAAACAATACACCATAAATGCACTATTTTATGAGAATCATAAAAGTGAAGTTAATACCTGTTCTTACTGAACAGAGTGCAAAAAGTCAAGTGAACTGTTATAAGTTAATCAGTTGTGATAAACCTAAGATATTCTTAGTTATAAACATAAAAACTAGAAAGTCTCAGAGGGGTAACCATGTTAGTTTGTAACTAAAATACTTTAAAAAGAACAATGGTCCTGTAGCACCTTAGGGTGAGTCTACACATCAGGGCTTAACTCGAAATAAGCTACGCAAATTGAGCTACGTCAAATTTGGGAGAATCTACACAGCACTTACTTCAAAATAGAGCACTCTTCCTCCAACTTCCCTTACTCCTCATACAATGACGATTACAGGAGTAAGAGGAGTAAGAAGAGTAAGAAGTCCTCCAGTTTGACAGTATTTTGACATTTCAAAATAACTACATGCGGTGTAGACACAGACTCAGTTATTTTGAAATAGCGCTAGTAATTTTGAAATAATGTTGCTGTGTAGACGTACCCTTAGAGATTAACCAAAAAATATTTAGATGGTATCATAAGCTTTCATGGGCACAATCCACTTTGTCATCTGAAGACCGAGTTTTTATAAAACAGCAATGAGGATTTTAAGCAGGCTTTCAATCCAACTTTGGTTACTAGCCTAATGGTTGGAGCCATGGACTGGGACTCAGGAGACTTGGATTCTATTCCTGACTTTGTCATTGCTGGGTGACCCTAGGAAAATCATTTCTAGTCTCTAAGCCTCTATTAGCCCACCTGTAAAATGGGAATAATGATTCAGGTGTCCTTTGTAAAGTGTTTTTTAGATCTACATTCAAAGTCTTATATAAGACCTAAGTATTGTTATTACTAACATATTAATGTATGCCTACTGTGAAAGGTCCACAATTGAATTACCTATACAACTTTTCAGTCTGAGATTTCCTACCTGGTTATTAGGGTCTGTAAGGTATCTCACTACAATGGGCATAAGGTAGTCAGAAAATGCTGTTGGGAAGTTTGGTCGACTTTCTTGAAGAAAAATGGCAATGGGAGGTATTTGTTCCATCAGTTCCGTCCGTACAGTAGGCTCTGGGCAGCATAGAGAAAGTCAAAATGGCTTCAGTAAGTTTAAAGTTAGAACCAGATGCTATTTATTGAATGTATTTCCACTTGTGAAACTATGAAAAACAAATACAAAATAATCTGTTTTTAAAAATGTCACCATGTAAAATATCTGTGTAAAGATGAGCTGAGAAATCAGACAGTCTCAATTATAACCTCCCATCAGCCCAATAGTCGTATTTTTAAACAAATGGATAGCTATCTTCCTTGACAATCTGGACCTTTTTGTGCATAATAACTAATTTCATTACAGCTTTTGTGTACTAATACTTCATTTTCTATGAGCCAAAGCATGCAGGAGTAGCTAGTAGTGAGAAAGAAAAGGGTTACATATATTTTTCACACAGTTTTCCTTTCTTTTGATAAGGTTCATTGGATTTTTTTTTTCATCTTTTGAAAAGCATCCTGTGCATCAGAGGTGGGCATAAACCAGACCATGGCCCAGATCCAGTCTGCCAGGGTTAATCCCTGGTGGCCCCCTGCTTTACTGCTCACCATTGCCGTACATTCTCAGGTATAATTTAATAATAAAAATAATGATCACTTATCATCTGCAAAGTACCATACACACATTAAAAGTCACAACACAACTGGAATGTAGAAAAGCACTTAGATGTTTTCTACATTTTATCACCAGTGTCCCAGACAGAATACATCCCAATATTTGGGAACCTGTGCTTTACTTTCTGACTATAGATATGTGAAGGGGCAACATTTTTAGTCTCCTTACAGAGAGATAGAGGAAGTAATCAATTACTAATTAATAGTTTAACTTTGCCTCCCTGTTAATCATATAGTTACCAATAAGATAACTAAAATGAAGATAATTTCTTTTAACACTTTCTAATTATTAAAAGACATACCTAAAAGAAATAAACAGAAAAATATCACAGAAACAAAACTTTAAACCATTAACTAGTACAATTGTCAACTCAGCACAGTTACAAAAAAAAAAATCACATACAAAAGTGATCATATTCCATATACATAAATTACATGCAACCAAAAAACAATCCCAAAACAAAATGGTAACAGAGTTAAAGTAGCAAATTTAAACCCTCCAAAAATGCAGATACAAAATTCTTCAGTCCATGTTAACTTGCGCACAATAATATATACAGTACAAGCAAAGTGTGGGTGGGCACCTATATTTTTACCCTAACTACTGTAATCCTGAGTGCCTACAGTTAGGCACATATATTTAGTGGCCTTGGTTTTTAGAGGTGCTAAAAACCTGCTCTTTCTGCCAAATTTTAAGTACTCATTGCTAACTTAAATGATGGAATATAGATTTATGGGCAGGATTCTCCAAGGAACCTAAGAAAGTGAAGCACCCAACTCCCACTGGGTTGTAATGGGATCTGGGTATGTAAACTCTTCTAGTACTTTAGAAAATACTACACTTGGTGACTAAGTAGGCAACAGATTGGAAATTTTTGGTGTAAAAGTGTCTAAGTTTCTACTGTTTCTAAGTCAGGAGCAGACTTTAAGACACAGCGCATAGAGCAGTATGCAAAAATACACAAAAGCTAGCATTCCAATCTCTATTGCAGTTAATCATTTCCAGAGAAGAATTGCCCAGTGGCTAAGACACTGGATTATGACTTGGGAAATCTTGGTCGAGTCCAAGCTGTGCCCAAGGCTTCCTCTGTGACCTTGGCCAAGTCATTTAGCTTCTCTAGGTATCAGTTCCCAAGTTGCAATATGGTGATAATCCACACTTCTTTACCTTATGCGATAAATACATTAAAGACTGTGAAACATTCAGGGCTCATCTAGACTACGCTAAAGGGTCGAAAGAGCAGAGCTTTCAAAAGTGAAAGTAGTCAAGATGCGTTTTTCTTCAGCAACCCCCACCCCTTTTTCCAAAAAACTGCTTTTCCTCAAGCATAGTCTAGGTGAGCCCTCTGACTGTTCGGATGTCAATAAGATACTTGCTTAATGTACCTTATGTGTGTTTTGCTCAATCTACCCTGTGCTTTAAACACATTCACATTTCTTCTTCCTCCTCTTCTTCTCAAGAATCAGACAAAGATATAGTCCAGAATAAGTATATTTCTAAACTAAAGGTACATCTACACTTGCTCCCTTGTTCGAGCTAGGGATGCAAACGTAGCCGACTGAAATTGCTAACGAAGCGGGGATTTAAATTTAAACTAACAATTCAAACCAAGGGGTTTGATTCGAACTAATGTGTCGCGGAGCACACTTCCTGGTTCAAATCAGCTGTTAAGCGGAAAAACGTGCAGGCTAGATTATGCTAATGAAGCGCAGGATATTTAAATCCCCGCTTCGTTAGCAATTTTGTTCAGCTACATTTGCATCCCTAGCTAAAACTAGGGAGCAAGTGTAGACGTACCCTAAGAGAAGATAAGAGTTCATTGATAACCCCAGCTACTGAAACATTGATACTAAAAATAACCCCCAGCTACTGAAAATAAAAGAAGGTCACAATATGTTCCAGATACATAGACCTGTCCCTCCTGCTCAATGAACACTTACATAGTATTTGTCAAGCCAACCCATGTAGTAGCAAGTAAATCAAGTACTAAATAAGGAGTTTTTTTAAAATTAAGAAACTGAGTCTCAAACCTGCATCTTCGGACAATCTGACCACTATCTCCATTACCGTCAAGAAATCTTCTTCATTATTACTGAAATCTCGAAAAACATCAAGTAGACCTCTGGCAATAATCTGTCTGTGAAGGGATAACATAATGTGCACTTTAACATCCTGCTGACATCGAGGTCAAGGGGGAGATTGGAAAAAAATTGAGAAGAATATCATAAAAATGCAAGGCAAGAAGGGATCTCAAAAGGACATTTATTCCAGCCTCCTGCATTGAGGCAGGGCCATTATTTATTTATAAATTATCACTAACAAGCCTTTATCTAGCCTGTTCTTAAACATTTCTAAGATGAAGATTCCACAATTTCCCTTGGAAGCTTATTACAGTGCTTAGCAATCCTAGAGTTAGAAAGTCTTTCCTAATATCTAACTATCTGTACTGGACAGGGAGAACAACTGGTCACTGTCCTCTTTATAACAGCCTTTAATATATTTGAAGATTTAACAGGTCCTCCCCTTAGTCATTCTTTTCTCTAAATGTTCCCAGTTTGCTTTTGCTTTGCTTCATAGGTCAGGTTTTCTAAATATTAACTCTTCTGGCCTCTCTCCAATTTGATCACATCTTTCTTCAAGTGTGGAGCCCAGAACTGGATACAATAATCAAGCTGAGGCCTCCAGTGTCAAGTACAGTAGGACAATTACCTCCTATGGTCTTACATATACTCCAGAATGGCAATAGCCTTTTTTGAAAATTCATCATATTGTTGGTTCACATTCACTTTGTGGTCCACTATAACTCCCAAATCCTTTCCAACAATGCTTCCTTCTAACCAGTTATTCCCCATTTTGTACCTTTGTCTTTGATTTTTCCTTCCTAAATGCAGCATTTTGCTTTTGTCATTACTGAATAACACATTAAAAGAACAGCTAAAATTCTTTTTAAAACTTCAGGCATACAGAACAGAATATATCACAAACCAAGTGCAGCACTGTGGCACTTGGATTAGGGATGTGAACGACTAGTCGACTATTTGATAAGCAAATGCCTGACCCTGGGCTACCGGCGGCATGTCAAAGCGGCAGTGCCGCATGGAGCCCTGGGTCAGCTGGGGAGTCCGCAGCTGACTCCAGGCTCCACACGGCGCTGCCACTTTGAAACACCGTGGGGAGTACAGGGCCAGCGGGGGACTCCCTAGGGCTGTTGCTACACTGCAAAGGCAGAGGGGCCCTATTGACTAATTGAATAGTCGATGCAAATTGCTAATTAGTTTAGTTCCGATTAATTACTCAAAATGTAACATCTCTAATTTAGGGGGCCTTTTAAGGTGACCAAAACTGAAAATCAGGCCCTTGTAGAAATAATGTACAATAAAAATCCTGTTTCTACTGCAATAAAAACTTTACTAAATGTTCATTTAAAAATGCACAAGAGGAATAACAACAAAATATTTTATTCTTAATTTAAAATCCACATTTAAGATTCAGAATAAAAAATAATAATTAAAAAACAATGGGGAATAAAATCACAATGTAGAAATTTCTAGCTTTGTCTTTAGACTATTAGTTTAATACTCATGTCCTTACCGATTAAATATATTCTCACTAAAGGCATATTTTTCCAAACGAGCAAGTGGAGTCAAGTTATCCTGTCCTGGAATATCCAAGAATGCAGTTATCCTCATGCTATCACAATCTGGTCCATAGTCTTCAAATCCAACTTTAAAAAACAAACAAAAAAACAAAAAAACAAAAAACATGTCAGCAAAAGAAAAAGATCTGAGCATTAAATACATCTCTTTGATAGCATCCCTTGTAGAACTTTCTACGTCACAGAACCACCTGTAAACACAATCCTTAGAAAGGCTCAGACAGAATTCAACTCTTCACTTACAGAGGTTAGTAGCCAGACCCCTATGTACTTCAACAACTAAGCTTTTAAGAATGAATCCAGAAGTGAAGTCAGTCTGATTGAAGTAAACGAGAATTAACAATGGCTGCAAGAGAGACATAATTTGTCCTTTATACATAATATAAGCTGAGATTTCCAAAGCTACTTTGACACATATTTCCCAGTGCAATTAATGAGAGCTGTATATCTAACTCCTGTTGATGGCTTTGAAAGTATCGGCCCTACCTGATCTTTATTTGGAAAATGTAAAACTTCTTCCTATAAGTGAAGCTCCTACTTGAGGCTTAGCCTACGCTATGAAGTTTTGCCAAAATATTTGTCAGTTAGGATTGGCGCCGGTGGGGGAGTGGGGGAGGAAATCATGCACACCCAACCAACGTAACTATGTCAGAAATCCCAGGTGTATACTCAAACAATATCACCAGAAGAGTGCTTTGGAACACAAAGTCATTCAGGAAGATAGTACAACTATACTCACAGAGCTGCATTTGCTGATATACACTGAATATCCACTAGGGGGCTTTGCTGGAGTAACTATGCCAGCAAAATGCTGTTGTGTAGACACACCCAAAAATTCAAGTTACATAATCTTTTAAAGACAGCAATTCCCCCAAAATATTACACAATTACATCCAGAATCAATTTCTATATACATTTTTATTTTTGGAAACAGGGCTGCCTTAAAGCTCTCAAAGCTCTCAATATTTGTGTGTTCTCCAGAGTACTAATAAGGTTAAATATCTTATCTAAGAGATTTGTCTTCACTGGTCACTAATAATTCCTTAGATTATTAAAAATGAAAAAAATGATATTACTTTTTCACAGTTTCTGCTGTTTGCTTACATTTTGCCCTTCAGTTTCAGGAAAGAAGACTATTCAGTTTCACTTTCAGATTCTCATGCTCAGTACTACAGAATTTATATCCCAAACCCTGTAAGTGAATGTTTAAATTCAAACAAAAATTCTTCTCATTTTTCTTTAAGCCATGAAGATATTTATATTAATACTAGGTTTTATAATGCTTTAAAAACACATTTAAGAATAAAAACTTGATTTTATCTTAGAAAAATAAATTGTTTAAATTTTAACCTAGTGTTGACATTTTAAGGATTCATATCAGAACCCAGCAAACTGTTCTGGTCTTCTGTGAAGAAATAATTTTATTGGGGAGTGCATATTCCACTTCTATAAAAATACTGCTGATTTGATTGTGGCACCGGAGGCAAAAATCAGCTATTGGCGGGAAGATAGGAATCTTAAAAAATTATCCTAAATCATTCAATATGTGGCATAATTCTTAAAGCTGTAGCTCTAGGAACCATGCAATTAGTTCATTACCTGATTAGTTTTTTTTTAAAAGGTCAACAGTTTTCCCCAAATATACCCTTAATGTGATCTTATGACTCTAAATGTATTTAATTTCTCTACCACATCTATATGTTTTGTTAGTCTATAAAGTGCTACTAGGCCATTTGTTGTTTTTTTAATTTATCCTGTACAGACTAACTTGGCTACCCCTTGAAGCCTCTGAAACCAATAATAGTGTTAGATTGAGAGTGCAGTGCAGGTAAATATTGGACTGACATGGGTATATTTTTGGAGTATCAATCAGCAAATATTAAAACCTTGAACGTGTGATGCCAATATCTGGTTTTAGAGTAATATGAAATTAAAAAACAAGATGTGAAGTCACTATGAAATGCCATACTTGCTTTTTACTCTTCACCCTCCCCCCATATGTATCTTAAACAAAAGGTTTCTTTCCTTCCCTCCAAACTTCAGAGAGGCGTCCATCAGTAATAACAGGGAATATTTGTGTACTACTGAAAGGGATTGATGCCCCTCTAGTATCATCATTATAAACGAGGGCTCTTGAGGCAAACTTCCTGTCAAGAGATAAAATTAAACAAACAAAAAAAAAAGGTTGGTTTCTGACACAGGATGTCCTACTGTAGGGTCAAATTCTGCCTCTAGATATGCATATAGCTAATTTACTTCAAAGGGAATGGTGCACACACACTTGATAACTGAAACTATAGTCTCTAAAAAAATAGAAAGCTATCTGGCCTCTTCAACTGCAATATTAAATGTCATAAGAAACTATTTGAACAAGAGTATATAGCATAAGAGCTGAATCATGCACACAAAGCAAAGCCGAAGAAAACTGGAATTAACGTGAAGGTCCAATTTTTCTTGTGCACATTCAACTACCACAACCACATAATTACACAAATTAGGCATGCTTATATTTTTTTTTGAGGGAGGGAGGGGGAAGAGTCATAGTGTTTTAAATAATGGTCTGAATATTTTTTCTGTTGATATTTTAGATCAAACTACTAAACTATCTTTTATAGATATGACATTTGAGGGGACAGTATGACACACAGAGATACAAAACTATACACAGGCGTCCTATAGCCTGGAAATTATAATTTACTTCCATTTAACTAGCCATTACTGCTTCTAGTAGTTAGCATTACTAAATTTTAGCAAAACCAGCCTACAGATAAGTGTACTTGAATAGGTTTATGATTTGTATCTGTATTAAATAAAACATTACTCAGATCCAAAAAGCATTGACAAATGGTGAAACTGACGGTCCAAAACCTGTGCGGCAAGTATCAGATCAGTTTAACATCAGTAGATGTGTCATTCTCAATCAGACTAGCACTCCATCACATCTGATATCCTAACTGGCAGTAGCCAAACCCTGATGCTTCAAAGGAAGCTGATGCCATCACTAAAAGCTCTGAATAAGTTAAGTGTGATGTATAAGGTTCTTGGAGTTCCTTTCTGACTCTCTGAAGCAATCAGTTTAAATACTGAAGCATGAAATTTGATTACCCTTGTATGATCTCAGATAAGTAGTACTGATAATAAAGTTTTTTTAAAAGCATCCAGACATATTAAACATGCTTCTAGAGCAGTGAATTCTTTAAACTACATATTGCGTGAAGTAATATTTATTTTAATCCATACTACATTTATAAGCCATTAATTTTATCAAGTGTTCCTTTGTTCTTGTATTAGGAAACAGCATTAAAACGAAAAGAAATGATCTGTTGCTACCATTCCCTTTACAGCACAGTAATTACTCATTTAACATGTGTCCACTTAACACGTTTTCGCAGTAGCATAATTTGTTTTTAGGGAACTTTTTCGAATAACACGACCGTCCCTGAAATAACACGAAAATAATCAAGTGGCGGACTACTTTGTACGGTGGTATAAGTTGATGAAAACAGTGGTATTACACATGAGCAGATGAACACATGTGGTCACAGCACTCCTCCACTCACTCACGTGTTTATCTTCGTGTTTTAACAAACCGCGGCGACTTGTGTTGCTAGATATCTTGTGTTGCTAGATATCTAATGTTGACGTTGACGACCAAGCATCAACAAAAAAATGACTTTGCCACCACCACCTGAAATGCAACCCTCACATTTTCCATTATTTTTAATGGGAAAATTGACCCCGCATAGAACGTTTTCGCTTAGCACGAACATTTTCAGAAACGCATCTATAGTGTTAAATGAGGAATTACTGTATTAGAGTATTGCAGGAGAATTCCCTACAATTCTGATTGCAATGCATAAACAAACCAATGATCATGGTTCTATGTTTTAAAGTAATACCAGAGTGAGGCACGATCCTGTCAACATTTATGCATATACTTCACTTTACTACCTTGAGTAGTTCCACTAATTAAGCACATTTTTAATGCTGGTAATTTGAGTAAGGTGAGTAAAGTGCTGGCAGGATCAGGGTCCCTAAAGAGCAGCTACAGAACACACCACTTTCTACACTGGTGGCTTCTTGCGCTAGACCATCTTGTGCAAGGGTTCTTGGGCAATAAGTCTTGCACAAGAAAACGTCCACACTGCCATATGCACGCTGTGCTTTTGCGCAACAGCTCCCATGGCAGTGTGGACGCTCTCTTGCGCAAGAAAACTCTGATGGCCATTTTAGCCATAGGGCTTTCTTGCGCAAGAAATCCCTGCCGAGTGTCCACACTGCCCTCTTGCGCAAGAGCTCCTGCACAAGAGGGCTTACACCTGATAAAAAAAGAGCATAACTCTTGCGCAAGGAGCCCTCTCTTACCACGCCGTACTGTAAATTTCCTTGTGCAAGAGCGGGCGGGCAGTGTGGACGCTCTGCAGATTCTTGCGCAAGAATGGCTGTACTTGTGCAAGAAGCCGCGAGTGTAGACATAGCCTGGGTATATATTTAGTGTAAAGACTCAAAATAGTCCTGCATCTCAATTCATATAAAATAAATTCCACCCTAGCTCTATCTTCACTAAACTACTCTAGACCATTTTAATACCAACTCTCTTTCCTAAACTGAGGAAACCAAAAGTGCACATAGCACTCTAGATGTTATAAGCATATGTAAAAGAAAATACAGAAAATCATGATTATTTCTAATGCACCCAATGTGCTTTCAAAATTGCTGCCACAGAGAGTTTATACTTCCATTAAACTATCAACTGAGATGCCCAGCATATTTTCCCACTTAGCAGATCAAATGGACAAGTTCAGAATCCCTCGGTGTATAAGAAATTTAACTAGTGTAGCCAAATGTGCACTATTGAAATTGAATTTAATATATCGTATGACCCAGTCCCAAAGGTACTTAAATTTCATAGCCTGACATAGGTATTAATATTCAGACAATTTAATGACATCAGCAAATGCCACCATCTCTTTGTCCATTTCCTGCACCCAATCACTAATAAATATATTAAAACCAATACTTACCCCTGTGGGTATTAGTCTCCCAAAAGTAGGAGACTACTCAGTTTTTAAATCCACCTACTCAGTTTTTAAATCCACCATAAATAATAATTTCTTAACCATAATTTCCCATAGTCTTACAAAAGGAATTTTAAAAAAACACCCCACAGAATAAGATTTATTTACTATTTTATTAATCTTCTTAAAGAACTGTATACAGGTTTGACAGCTTTTGCAGTGGAGAATTAAAGAGTCAGATTGGTTTGACCCTCAATATTTATTCAAGTGCAATATCACATTATCCACAATTAGTTTCTCATTCAGCTCCCCTGAGTTGAGGATATATTTCCCCTTCCATAACTCCAAGGATCTCATCTAGCTCTTTTGTTTGATTATTTTAATAAAATTAATTGTATCATATTACATGAATATCTCCATTATTTAATGCTTTCTTTCCTTCAGACATCTTGGATCTAGTTTTAGTTATTTACTTCAATGAGTTGCTTAAAAATGTCCTATATCTTTTTCCTTGGTGTGTGTCCACACTGCAGCTCAGAGCATGTTTTCCAATGCAGATAAACACCCGCTAGCTCTGCTCAAGCCACTGAGCTAAAAATAGCAGTGGTCATAGGGGCAAAGGCAGTAGCTCAGGCTAGCCATACAAGTACATACCAAGAGGGTTGAGCAGGTTCATAAGCAGATGGCCAAGCCTCCACCTGTTCTACCATGCTATTTTTAGCACAGTACCTCCAGCAAAGTCCCCTCTACCTGCAGTGTAAAGAAAGCTCCCAATTGTGATGTAGGCATACGCTTTCAGGTTAATCACAGCCCTGATCTAGACTGGGACCTTTTGTAATAATAATAATAATAAAAAAAACCTGTCAAGACCATGCACACTGAGCTCTCAGATTTTCCATCGTAATTCTAGATGTTCTTTCACAGTGACTAGGAACAGTTCATATTCTATATTTTTAGTTCAAGATGTAGTACAGTAGTTCAAAACAAAACAGGTGTCATTAATGACACTTCAAGTCAGACTTTTTTCTCTCTCTGTCCATGCCACAGTAACGATAAATCAACATGCTGCATTAGATCTGTTGATATTGATACATACAAATTGATGTAAAACAGACATATACAAAGCACACTTTTTCCCATTATTAGATAACTATTCTAAATTCAAAATTGTAAAATGATAAAAAATCCCCAGAAAAACTTGGGTTTCATCCCCTTCCTCCAAAAGCCAGAAGGCTGGCTTACAATCATAAATCTATTTTAGTCAAGTTACCAGGACAAATTACACTTTTGTTGATAGCATTGGCAAAAAAGCCAAGGACTGACTGGCCATGGAGAATATACTGCCGTCTCACCCCTACAGATGGTCCCCTCCAAGTCAGTCAAGGCACATTGGCTGGACACTGTGGGAGATTTGGACTATTGTTTGTAACATGCTTGTACTGAAAATAGAAGAGTTCAGGTGGCATCTTTCATTTTTTTCAATTGAAGGGGGGAGAAGGGAAAGAATTAGCTGGCAAGAAGCAAACTAAACTGTTTTCGTATTGGATTATAAGGGTTTACTTTTTAAAAATTTGGCAGAGAAAAGCAAAACAGAACAGATTTTCAATTCTACTAATGAGTTTATACTGCAGATCCAGCTGCTTTGGCTCCCCTTGTTATTAATGAATTTAAAGGTGGGATGTACTGAACTTTGAAGCTTCTTTCAAATCAAGTGTGGGTATACACAAGTGTATTAGCCAGTCTGCTCCCTATTTAAATCCCCTGCTCAACAAAAGTACTTGGTGTTGTTTGAGGTCATGACACAGAGTTAAGCAAGCAATGTCTTTAAAACCAATATCCCAGAGATAAATGTATGAACTGAAGTAGGAAACGCAAGCATAAGCCTGAAAAACCAGACCTCCCAAATTTCAACACTTTAAAGGGTGATGCCATATAATTTTCAACTACTTTTTATTCAACTTTTATACTCCAGTTTCTGAACTACCATTTCCTTTCTTCCTCTTCCCTCAAAAAATCAGGATTGTCTAAAGCAGCAACATAGAACTGGTCCATCACAAGCAACAACTTCAAAAACATTCACAATTATTTTCAAATGATAAACACAAATTGTCATCCAAAATGCCAATTAGTACCTCACTGGGATCCCTAGAGCCAGGACTCCAGCCCAACCCAAATATTATCTACACTGCAATTTTATAACCCTGCTGCTTGAGCACCCTTTTCCCTAAATCTGAATTAGCTAACAATCCTACCACTGTGTTTTATTGCAATATAAACACATTTTAGGACTCTGTGGCCCTCAAGCCACTAAACATAAATGTCCTCAAGACATATATGTCCTCAACTTTAAGTCTGTGAGTTTTTTTATTGAGTTCAATGGAGTTTCTGATATGCACATCCCTTTGCTGGATTGGGACCTGAGACTCCAATCCTTCAACAATGCTTTTATATAGGCACAAGGATCTGGGGTGGGGAGTTGCAAACAATTTGGAGGGAGATTTTAAATGTCACATTGAAGCCTTCCATAAAAATTTGCCATTATTAGAGAAAAGGTTTTTAAAAGCAGACTCCAAATTAATCCATCTTTAAAGTTTCCATCCAAACAAATCAGTGGCAGTTCTGGAAGGTCATGCAATCATATTTTTAAAAAAAGTCACGGAGGAAGATGCTAAAGAGAGAATGTATGAGATCTTCAACATCAATTAGACAAGACAGACCTCAGTAGGACTGAGAAAATTTGTAGACAACAGGTTCAGGCAAAGAGTTTTAACAGGTTGAAGATGAATCCCCTAAAATCCTTCACAAGCCCTTGAAACTATGAGGCTAGATCACAGAAAGTGTTGTCTTATTCCATATCTCTGTAACTCCACAATGCAAAAGATACACAAAACAAATAACCACCTTTTTAAAAAAACTGTTGTGGTGTGTGTTTCAATTCATCATTTAAAAATCTCACTCATTCAGATTATCACAACAAGAAGTCCTTGTCTTAGGCCAACCACTAGAAATGTCCTTCGCAAGCAACAGAACATCAACTTTATAAACCTGACATGAAGAAAAGCTTTTCTCTCACACCAACATGGTCCAGTAAAAATATTACATTGCCCACTTTCTCAACTTTATCAACACAGACCTGAATGTAGGTTCCTCCACTGCCAATTATACCCATCAGTTTTTAAAAGTATTATTTCTGCATCATCCAACTATGTGGTGTGCTAGTCTTTTTGCTAAGCAGGAAATACCTTGTATCTTCCGTGTATGATGAATGATTGACATTTGGGATTACAATTAGAGATGCAAGAATTAATTTTAAAATGTGGAAACGTCCCTCAAAGTATCATAGCTTATGACCGTTCTGAAACAACTTGTCCCCTTTTTCCTCATTATGCAGGTCTCCATCCTGCAAATCCAATTATGACAGGCCTTCTTCCTTTAGGGTTAGTTCTCTCCCTTCTATACCCTCAGCTGTCTGCTGTATGGTTTAGGAAGATATTTAAAATAAAAACAACCTATCGTTTTATAAAG